TAGTAAATATTTATCTATCTATCTCTCTATATATGTTAAATACATATTAAATTCTTAACATATTAAATTGCTCAGCTTCATACGGATATTGTAGTAATAATAATTGGAGTATTTTAATGCCCTATTTTACTGTTCACTTGAATATAAAGTGATGGTGAATTATGAAAATGTTGCCTAATGGTGAAGGAGAGTCAGCAATAAGTCTCTTCTGTTATTGTGTCTCTCTCTTTCTTTCTCTGTGTGTGTGTGATAGGCACATGTGCTTGCCAAAGAGAGACAGTGAGACAGTAATAGAGAAAGTGAGAAGTCACCCTCTAGGGGGTGTGGCCACACCACAATCCCCTCTCCTTCCTTCTCCTCCTGGAAGTTTGAGCATGCACATACTTGCACTTGGCTTGATTCTCAAACAGTCAAGTTTAGGGCTCCAACCAGGATTGGCCATATGGGAGTCTAGCACCTTAACAGCTATGCCACCTGCCAGCCCTTAATGTGTGTTTTAAAATAAAGTACTAAGAACAGGGAGGAGAACTGCCTGTTACGGGATTGGAGAGGGGCTTTCTAAAATTTTTTAAATTTTAAATTTTAAAATTTTTTTATCTCTATGAGAGAAAGAAAGAAATCTAGGTGTAGCCATATACCTAATTAATTTGTTTGATGTGAAAAAACTAGAAGCCCAGAAATTTGAGAAGAGTCAGAGAAGTTTCTGGCAACTCTAAAATAGAAGATGAAAAGGCACCTACTTTAAGGAAAGGAAGGGGGTGGGATTTGATAAGCAATGATTAGAATCAGCAGTCTTGACATTTCCTGACTCACTTTGGGGGTGTGGTTTCTGGCTAGAGCACTCAGCTGCCCAGATGTTTGTGGCAAGGAGCAGTTACTGGTGGATGGACTTTGGGTTGAAGGTTTACGGGAAGGATCATCTTCCTCTGTCTTCAAGTCCATGCTGCCCACAGTCTGGGCATCTTGCTGACAACTGGTCACCCTTGGAATCATCTGGATTCCTCTTGCTTTGTCTCACATGCCACATAGAGTTTATCAACAATCCTGACCATTCTACGTTCAAATTATATTCATACTCTGACCATGTCTCCTGACCTACTGCCCGGAGTAAAGCTGCAGGTAAAAGACCACCCTGGAGGGTCAGCTATTGACTCTAAATCAGGGCCATCACTAGAACTTACTGTAGTGATGGACACCTTCATGTGTCGCTGACTGGTATGGCAGCCACTGGTCCCATAAGTCTGTTGAGCACTTGAAAAAAAGGCATAGTGCAACTAGTGAATTGACTTCTAAGTTCACTTGATTTCAGTTACTTAAAATTTACCACAGAGGCACTGTGCACTAAACCTGCAACCACACAGGACACCTGGTTAGGTTCCCGGTTTAACCTAAAGGCAGTTGCTTTGTTATTTTCTGGGTAAAGGACTTGACAGTACCAAGTTTGGCTAGAACAGACCCACCCAAAATTTAGGGCTAGTTTTCCCTCACGGTCTCACATGGAAGGTGAGCCTGAATGGCAGTTTGAGTATTTGCAGATTAAGGTTTATATATTTGGAAAGATTTCTTCCACAGGAATTGTCTAAAAGGTATGGAGAAAGGTGGTGAAGAGCAATGGTCCCCAGCCTTCCCAGCACCAGGGACTGGCCTCATGAAAGACAGTCCCTCCACTGACAAGGTCGGGGGATGGTGGTGCTGGTCCTGGAAACACCCAGACATACCACTTCCACATCCCATTTGCACCATCACTACCTTGCAATATACAGTAAAACAATCACACAACAATCGTGTTTGCGATCCCATGAGAATCCAATACCGCTGCTGATTTGTCAGGAGCTGGAGCCCAGGTAGCAACGTGAGTGATGCGGAGTGGCTGCAATCGCAGACGAAGCCTCACTCGCCAGCCCGTCCTCCTGCTGCCCACCCCCCGCCCTGCAGAACATCACCAGTTGGTGGCCCCGGGTTTGGGGACCCTAGTATATAGGTTGAATAAATGTATGGGGAATGCCCACTGTTTAGTAAGACAAAACCAAATGGGTGTATTTTCTATATTGTGTGTAAAACCGCAAGAGGATAATTAAGGCAGAGTCACTAATGTGTGAGGTGACATTCGCATGGCCGCATCAGAGTACAGACAGGTTGGACCAGCCTGGCAGCATGACAGTTTGTCTTTGGCTATCAAAGTTCACAAAATCCACAGATCTCTTATTCCATCAGCTCCACATTTTAGGAATTGGTCTATTGAAAATGTCATACTTGTAAAATATGAGGTAAACGTGACAAATGAAAGGTAAGTACATGTTGATATACATTAAGTATTCATTACGTAATTAAACCAAAATTAAAATTATTTTTCTAATTCATCTATTATTCTAATTTTTGTTGACCTAAGACATTTTCTATCAGCTGTTACTGAGCAAAAAAAATATTTTTTTTCAAAAATGATCCTCGAGGTCTTCATTGTGTGAACATCATACAGAATAAGTTATATCAGTAAAAATAAATTACCAAAGTAAACGTAGGAGTCTGGGGTAGCAGAATTACTGATGTTTGCTCTTCCTTCCTTTATTTATTTACTTCTCCTTTTGTTTTGCTATGCTTTCCAGATTTAGCACAGATTAAATACTAATTTTTAGTGGATTAGCTCTGAGTAAGTGTAAAGTGCTTGGCTATATAACTGCAAAGTCATGAGGCTTAAAACTTTTATTTATTTTTTTCCCAAAGTTTACTTATTTTATTCATAACTGAGAGCACATGCCCAGGAGAAAGAAAGAAAAAAAGAGAAAAGAAAGGAAAAGAAAGAAAAGAAAAGAAAAGAAAAGAGAAGAGAAGAGAAGAGAAGAGAAGAGAAGAGAAGAGAAGAGAAGAGAAGAGAAGAGAAAAGAGGCGCGAGAAAAGCACCCTGTAGTCCCCTTGCCTCAGCCCTACAGCTCCTCAAGCCCCTGGTCACCCGGCCTGTCCCTGGCCCAGTACTTTCCTGCCTGCAGTACATTTCGCCACCCAGTGCATCACCAAGCTGAGCCACTCTGAGCTGCCCACACTCACTGTGAGGCAGTCCAGGGCTTGGCTGTGACAGGTCTTCCACATGTTTCCTGTCTCTTCTGCGTGCTCTGAGCTGAGTAACTAGGGCATGGAGGCTGACAGTCTCTACCACCAATATGTAGTGATGACCAAGGGTTACATTAAGTCTAGATTTTTAAAATTATGAACCATGGACATTATGCCATGTGATTTACATTCAGGCATATAGGTTGCCTTAGGCAGCAGTAGCTCTTTATAGTGGAATAAGGCCTTAAAGATTTCCCTTCTCTTCCTGTGCTGCAATAAGGAGAAAGAGGGTAGATAAACAGGTTAATTATTCCTTCTCCTCTGTGGGTCAAGCTTGTCAAACGCCTAAGGCAAAACCTTGGTTCAGTGCTTGTTAAATCCCACATTTTATTATGGCAGGTTACTGTCATACTTTTAAGACTTTCATTTTGTATAAATTGGTTTGTAGACTAGAATTTGGAAGCAATACAGGTTATGAGAAATAAGCCGACACATCAAAGGACACTGATATAGGAATAAAAAAGCAGTACATTTGAGTTCTAGACCCACTTATGTTAATAACTTTGGGTCTTTCGACAATTTCTGTGTCAAAAAATATGTTGATAATAATTTTGACTCAGAGCCTAAATTAATATGAGCTGAATAAAATTTAGAGAACATGGGGTTGGTGGATAGCCTATTGGTTACATCACTGGACTCCCATGTGGTTGACTGTGGTTCGAGTGCCAAACCCAGCAGCTTCAAACTTATGCCAGGGATGTATGTGTGAGTGCCCAAAATCCTGAGAGGAAAATACAGGTGAAGGGATTGAGGCATGCCTGTTCCTCTGAGGTGTGATTTTTTGCTTTTTGTCTCTCTGCCAAGTGCATGCGGCCTATAGCAAAAATCTCTTTAAAAACAGAGAACATGAACTTAGAATGATCATTAAACATGTATAAGATTCCTCCTTTCTCAGGCTAGGGCTCTCGTTGTGAAGAGTCCTCTTTGGAGTCTATGGCATCTTGTGAAGAGTCCTCTATGGCATCTGTGTCCATGCCAATGGGCATAGATGCAGATACAAGGTCACGGTGGAGCTCTCAATGGCCAGAGGAGACTGTGAACTCAAGAGCTGCCATTTTTCTTTCTTCCTACTTAATGTCTTGGCCCTTTTCCTGCATTTCTTAGCCCTCTCCTAAATGGGAAGCTATGACGTTCAGCTGGTCTACCTGGACTCAGTAGTTGTTCATCTGTTTGTCCATGTCCTATGTAATTGTGAAACTTGATCACATAATAAAACCACATATGAAAGCAATTATGATCTTCCTATCCCACACCATAATGAACTCTTCCTCTCTCATCCTGTCGGTATCCATCATCTCAAATACTCTGAACATTATTAGTGATGGTTGCATTTTGCCAGATCATATTTAATCTGATCCTTGCCTTTTGCTCAAATTCTGCTTTCATATGCTCTAGGGTGCATATACTCACTGAAAATCACCCCCCAGTGGGGGTGACCACACTGTAATCTTTTCTTCTCCATTTGCCTCTTGGGCTCTCACCACACATGCCCCGCATGTGTTTTAAGCCACCAGGTGGAGCTCTTGGGAGTCCAGCAACATAACCATTATGTGATTTCCTTAGACTAATTTCTGATACATGACTTTTTTTTTTTTAATCATGTTACTCTTCCTAATAATCTCAATTATCTTTTCTCCTTACTGTCTCTTCCCCCATTTATCTCCAAGGCAAAACTCAAAGTGTGACTGTGCTGTGGAATTTGGTTGGGTTGATATCATGAGAAAACATTCTATTTACTTGTACGGATTCCCCTTCTGTAATTAGATCATATTTTTTCTTTGGCGTTCATAACTTCCGTCGTTCCAATGCACAGTCTATACATTGCCAGATAGTTCTGTCTGTTCAGAGTGACACATTTGATGGCACTGAGCATGTCCTCTTGTGTTGCAGGAGCTATGCCTGTCCCAGACCAGCCTTCGTCAGCCTCAGAGAAAACCAGTTCCCTGAGCCCTGGCCTGAACACCTCCAATGGGGATGGCTCTGAAACAGAAACCACCTCCGCCATCCTCGCCTCCGTCAAAGAACAGGTAGAAACCTTCTATTTTTGTGATACATAAATTTTAAATATTGTTTTTCCTTATAAACAATGATTAAAGTATGTTGGAAGAAATCATAATTTTATAACACTGTTGGTATTCATACACAAATATTAAAATATGATTACAATTGCTTTTGACTCCATGCTTTTATTAATAATTGAGGTACCTTTCCTTGAAAAAATATTGCATAGAAAAAGAAAAATTTTATACTCGAAATTCCTGATAGGTGAAATTTTGACAGATTTGTTGATGGATCTGACATTTAGTATTATTAAATGTATGAAGCCAAATAACTGGTCTTTAGAAAATAGGAAGACTAATAAACTGTCAAAATATACCTAGAAGGCTAAAACATTAGTGTGCACAACAGCAAATGAATGTCAAATGAGATCAAGGCAAATTGGCCTTTCTAGTGTTTCTGAGAAGGCTCTGGATGGATACATTCTTGATCTTCCTTCTTAAACTAATCAAAATCGGAATGATGTTTTTTTCCCAACATTCCTTTGCCATAAAAATGGATAAGTAAATAAAAATGTGAACCTAAGAGTTAAACATCAATTGTCTTGCTTCTTAGAAGTAAAGAGTGATAAGTAATTAAAGGTGGAAGATCAAGATTCTTTTATTTACTTGGAGCATGTGCTAGGAAATAAGGCAGGATTTTTTAAAGTGAGTTCACTGTGTTTGGGCTATTTGGTTTGGTGATGCTGACTTAGCCATAGCAACAGATGAGAGTGACAGCAGTCACCTGCCTCCAGGAACATCAATAGGGCAGTAAGCTAAAACTGGGGTGACTGGGACAGTGACTCCCTGTAAAAAGAAGAAGAGCTCTAGAAGATACTGGCTATGTGTAGTAATTGGGGGCTGATTTAGCTAAGCCTAGGAAAGTACCTAAGCAATCAAGCTGTCAGGAGCTAAGGGAACATCCTATTGACAGGAAGGATCAATGATGCCATCAGTCAGAAGTGTGCCACCGAGTCAGGAAATGTGCAGCTAAGTAGGTACAGGAGGGAGAGCGGATTGATTGGACAGTCTAGTTTGTGAAAATAGTCAGTAAAGAGGACACTGGGTTGAGCTTTAGGCTGTACTGCTTGATTAATTTACTTTAAAAATTCACTTCTGAGAGATTTCTGATTGTTTTTAAAGACTAGTTTTAAAAAAGGGACCGAAAATGGGAGGTTGTGCCACTTCCTATACTGAAGATACTGCCTTATCATAAGCAATTGTGGCATGGTTTCTTCTACTGTCATCAAGACATCTTCCTAGACCACTGACAGAGTTATGATACAACATAAAACAGGAGGGATACATTTAAAAATAATAGCCCAAGAAAGACCTGTCTGATGAAATCTGTAACGTTTTATCAAAGAATATAAAATAATTCAGAGTGTGGGAAAGATATGTCACAATCTTGGTATCATCACAATATTACTCTCTCTCAAATTATTATATAAAGTTTAAGCAATTGTAATCAGCATTTAGTGCCTGGTTGTTTGTTTTCTTAGAAACTGGATCAAACTCTTTTAAAGATCATATGGAAGTATGCAAAGATGAGGGTGCAAGAAAATTTTGATGAAGAGATTTTACTTTACACAGTTTACCAGAAGGAAAGTGATCTTTGCATAAACATAATTGAAGGTTCAGAACAGATTTAGGGACACACAGGGGCCTAATTAATTTAGAGTTAGTATTTTAGTCTGGTTCAAACAGGTGGTTTAAATGGTGTTGATATAACTTACTCAACATCTGGAAGAAAATTAAAGTTGTTAACTAACCATATATAAAATATAAATCTCCAAGAGAAAGCAATTTAACTGTGAACATGAATAAACATATTAGAAAAGACAGTCACATAATATTCAAATAAACTAAAACTTGCCATTGGTGGGCAAGGCTTTAAGTAAGACAGGAAACAGAGAGACCTCACATGAATGGTTGATGCATTTGGTGATATGAATATTAATAATAGCAAGGCAACATTCACCATCAAAAAACTAGAAAAGAAAGCCAAAGAAAATAGGTTCCACAGTATGACAAAGTATTGATAAAATTCATGTGTTAAGACATCCTAATACTAGGGAAAAAAAGCAGAGAAATAGAATAGACAACTAGGCAAATGATATGAACAAAAGAAAAATGAAGAATAAAAATGAGTGTATGAAAATATTTTTCTTTCTCCTATACTACTAGTCAGGGATACTGAATTTGAAATGAAAAAGAAATATTTTTAGTTTATCAAGTGGCCCAATGTTAATGCATAGTATACACTTCATGCTACGTGGAAGTTGAGGCAGGGAAGAGATACATTAAATAGGAATGTAAATTGCTATAATTTTTTTGGTAAAATAATCTGTTTCTATGAATTAGCATTTGACATGTTCAATAGCCTTTGAGTTAGTCATGCGTGGGCATGTGTTCTAGAGATGAATAACCTAGAACATAAGAATTTATATATTTGGACACTTACAAAATTATTTGAGATAGAAAAAAAGAGGGAAGAGTATTGCATGGCAAAGAGTTGAAAAATGATGTATTATTCCTATAAAATATTGTGTAGTTATTAATAGAAATGAGTAGGGGCTGTTTATCTAAACTTTGAGGAAAAAAAAACAAATTGGCTTTTGTTTGTAAGGATTTATGAGCTTCTAGGAAAGTGTAGAAGGAACAAATAAATGATTAGCATTGGTTACTGTATGCATATATCGTTAAGTGGAGGTGGGAATGGACTATGGACATAGAGAATCTGGAAGAGAGTCAAAAGCAGGAAAAAAGATTTGGGAGGCTGGAATAAGTATCAGTTAGGTCTGAAGAGTAGGCAATCCTCCAGCTGAAATAGTGGTCTTTTGCATGTCATGAGAGTGAATAGCTGCTTAAGGCAAAACTGCCTCCTTGCTGTAAATGAAATGGCCTCTCTAAAGACGTGCTACAAATTTAATTTAAAAAAAATAAAATAAACTTACTGTGAAAAGTTTTTTTTCTGTTTCTACTACAAAAAATCATGGTCTGAGGACCAGCCGGCAATGCTGTGATTAAGGTACTGGACTCTCACGTGGCTGACCACGATTTGAATCCTAGACCTAACAGCTTGCTTTCTTACTCTTGCTCTTTCTCTCTCTTTGCCTTACAGCAAATTTAAAAATAATAATACTAATCAATAAAATTAAATAACCATTTTTAAAAAAATCGTGGTTCATGTTTGGCCAACACAGATGCGATTCCTCGTGAGAGATCGTGATCCAATGTGAGGAGAAATGGTAATGTGTCCTGGGAACTTGATAGAGCAGCTGGAAGCATCCAAAGCCAGGGGCTCTGCCTTAGGGCCCGTGTGCAGAGATCAAAAGGCCACAGATTCCATGAACTTTCTGGGGCGTGGCTTGACACAAACAACTTAATCTATCCTTCTTGAGAGGGGGATTTTTGTCCAAAATCATGTTTTTCAAGTATAGACTGTTACTTATATAGTTAAAACTAATTCAAATATATTTCTCAAAAATATTAACGTGGATGAAGAAAAAGTAACTTTAAAACTTAATGCCTTCTGGGACCAACAGTTAGCATAATGGCTATGTCGCTGGACTCCCACGTAGTCCACTGCGGTTCAAGTCCTGGACCCGGCGGCTTAAACTCACGCCGGGCGCATGTGCGTGCATGCCCAAGATCCCAAGAGGAGAATGGAGGAGAAGGGATTGTGGCGTGGCCATCCCCCCTGGGGGGGTGATTTCTCGCTTTCTGTCTCTCTGTCTTTCTCTGTCTTTCTGGCAAGCGCACGCGCCCTATAGCAAAAACCTCTCAAAAAAAAAAAAAAGTTAATGCCTTCTTTGATTCTTAAAGATCATTTATAAATATATTCACTTAAAGAATATAAATTCCTTTTTTCTTCAGGAGAATTAGCTTTCTTGAGTAGGGATTCTATTTACTTAGGGAAGTGTATGCAAGTAAGAATTTGTATGATGTCACTTTTGGTATCTCTCTAGTCCTCTCTCCTTGGAAGTCATTTATGCAAAAGGAAGTCATTCCTTTGTCATAATAGACATATATTCTAGTTGACTGCCATATGATTGGTTGCCTAATTTATTTACTCATTCAGTAAATATATTGACTGCCTTAAATTGGCAAGACATATTAATGGGTAAGCGTATATTATAAAAGAACCCAGTCTGGTAGAGTTCATTTGAATAAGTTGTTAAGGAGACTAGAAACGTAAGTTCTTAGGTGGGTAGTTAACATTGCATGGAAATAAATTCAAGTTTATACCATGGAGTGAAACTTGAGGCACACCAAACCTTAAGTCATGAAATGTATCTCACGTAGCATGAAGACAGGACTGAAATATTTGCAAGGTGAGTCCTTGAACAGCACAGACATGGGTTGCTCAATGAAAAACTGTTCATTGATTTGTTTCTCTGTTCTAATTCTACTCTTGATTGCTTTCTAACCATGAATTTTACTCTTTCATAGTAACATAAATAGAGCCATGATTTATGCTACACTCTATGGGTAATTTTCTCGATTTAAGCTACATCTGTCTCATTTCCAGCAGTTATCAACTCTCTCATCCTGTAGGGTTTTAGGAAAGAACCAACTAATCCCTACCAATTTGGGGTACATATTCAAATCATAGCAACTGATAACTATTATACTTAAATGCAAACTCCGAGTCTGAGTATAACCCATGGAAGCACAGATCTGTGTACATCCTAGAGCTTGGTAAACACTGTTGGGGAAATGCAAGAAAATGATACATTTGTATAGACTGCTACATACTGAGACATTTTCTATTTAATCTATTCATTATTAAATGTACTTAGCCAGTAGAATTATTTTTTTTCTTTTTTTTTTTTGAGAGGTTTTCGCTATAGGGCGCGTGCGCTTGCCAGACAGAGAGAGACATAGAGACAGAAAGCGAGAAATCACCCCCCAGAGGGGATGGTCACGCCGCAATCCCTTCTCCTCCATTCTCCTCTCGGGATCTTGGGCACGCACACACACGC